CTTTTGTGCATTGCCGTAATTTGAGTGAAATGACAATATGTGACAAAGCTTTGTGAGGGCATCCAGTATAGTCCGGTTCCGAGAAGACGGTTGACTGTGAGTCCTGAAAACTTACAAGTGTGTGAGTTCGGTTATAGAACATGGTTGTTACTCGCGCAAATAATCGTTCAGTGTGTAAACGTTACCGTATTAAGAACTCAAATACAGGACTGACAACCGTATTAACACAGGCAACTAAAGGAGGCACAGGTGTACAATCATAGATAACATACGTAACCAAGAAAACTGAACTACATTAAAACACAAGAAACAGAAACAAAAAGACAACTAAGTCGAACACAACTCAATTTCTCTATGCAGTGGGAAATGTATTGCATAAAGAAAATAAAGCCTAATACTATTCATTCTGTCATTATTTTTATAACAACATTATTTATTTTAATTAACAATGATACACATAGGAAACAATTTAGCCACTGATTTCATGACAGTTTAGCACTTTTGTGTTTTCATAATTCCCTTTTTTCAGTAATGAATCATTTGATTCTCATGACTGTTTGTACAGAAAATCCCACCGTAATCTGTAGATACTTTACAGTTTAAATTCAGCATCTTTCGTGCAGTGCAGTCATTTGAATGAAAAGGCAAATTGTGGCAAAAGATTTGTTTCCAAGTTTAGATGAGTACTGAAAAGTATTGTAAACTAATCTGAATATTGGCACTGTACAGCATTGCGTTGGTCTATAGTCATCCTGATGAGGTTATTACGTCCCCAAATGAGCGCTTGTGTGTCAGATGATAGTGCTATATCATGTACATGTCAGTCTCCTGTCCAGCGAGTGCATCAAGGGCACTGGAGTGACTGAACTCGTGACATGTTGATGGTGTGTGTCTGCGTAATCAGCGGCTGCTCAAGGTCACAGTCTCTTACTGGTTTCTCTTGCTGGAATAACCCCTTTCGGCCTGGACTCTGGAACATAGTAGACTTTGTAGCCATAAACTTGTTATGCTGAATGCTGGATGACAAATAACTCAAGAGTCAACAGCATGGCTGAGTGTGTGTGTGTGTGTGTGTGTGTGTGTGTGTGTGTGTGTGTGTGACTTGTTCGAGTGCCTGCTTTTTTGATTACGGGATCTATGCATGATGTGCTTCATGGCAAAACTGAGCCCTCATTATTATTAGTGGACATTGGGACAAATAAACGGGTTAAAGTCGGTGAACGGTTGAAACGCTGTTTCTGATTTCTTAATGGATGTTCAGGCTCTGCAAATAATGCATTTTAATGCATGGAAAAAATGAGAAAAAAATGACTCGGAGAACATGTTTAGCAACACATTTCTGGTGTTACTTGGCTGTTAAAAATAATAATTTGGATAATAAATGTTTTATGATCCATTCTAAAAGTTTACTAAAATGAAATCTGTCTGAAAATTTCAAACACTTGACATTTTATTTATTTATTTATATTTACAGTTGCATATCATTTAAATGATTTATATAATTGTATTGCAGCTTTTGTGTGTTTATTATATACAAAAATATACATTAAATAATAATATACAAAATGTATAATTACAAAAATTATATATGACATAAAATTATATATTTTTAAATTTATTATATAATTATTTGTATTATTTGCATTGTAATTATTTTTAAATATGAATATCAACAATTATTTATTATATCTTTTATATTATTATACAATTGATTTTAATATTATTTTATAATAATAATAATTATTCTTCACATATATATTTATTTTAGAATATCATTATTTTTTATTATAATTATCATATATATTACAATTAAATTTAAAAGCACATATGTATTTGTATTAAAATTCATAATGCTATAGAACAAAAAGTCCTTATCCAAATTTTTTCTCTCAAAACACTTTTTTAAGGCAATTAAAAAAAAAGGATTCATCTTTGTTTGTTATTTTAACAAGGTGGATAAACCTTTGCAAATGTAAATAATGAAATGTTCAAAGTTAATATTGATTTGAGCAAACATGTGTAAGTGGTTTAAACTCTTTGCCAGATTGATCTAACTGTGGTCTCTGAAGTTCATGATCTAAACCCTGACATTCACATTTGTTTATTATAATGACAGCGATGCCAAAACAAATAAACAAACAAACAGTGTATTTAAATGACCATTTACATTTTTTTGTTTGACATGTCTTTGATTGAGAAAAGGAGGAAGTCTCTCTTTCCACAAAGCATCTCGTCTTCATCACATGTTTTTAGACTCTCAGGTGTGTTTTTGTGTTGTTTTTAATGTGATTTTTATTGTATAGAGTGAGACGTTACTCAAGCCAGATATTACACAGCAAATTACAGGTTTGAATCATAATAGGATGATGGGCCAGAACAGAACAACCTCTCCGCTACACCTTCATCTGAAAAACAAACGTGTGAGTCATTGACATTTGCTCTCAGATCGCCTCACTCAAGGGCACAACAGGTTAGCTTTAGTCAAGCGGCCGCTGAGCTCTGGAGAAACTCATCCAAACATTCCTTTACGAGCATTATGCATGATCGGTCAACAGAACCTGATCAAATAAGTGTTCAACACACAACCACTCTGATCTAGGGCAGATTGTATTCAGTGGTTCGTCTCTTTACGTGCTATAATGTGGCATAGACTCAAGGTGAAAAGTTGCAATGACAACAACATGTGCAGACTGTGGGTATAAAGAGTCAAGGGCCATGAAAAAAGGTTCTTCTACAAATAAACTAGATGTAAAAATGTGTTATTTTAGATAAGTTCATTGAGGTAGGGTTCCAGCAGATGGCAGCAAAGCTTCATTGAGACTCCTGTCCTGACTCTTCATTTACCAGACTCTATCAGTGTATTTGACAGTGACCGATAATACAGGTGTATTATGCAAATAATTCTTTATATATATATATATATATATATATATATATATATATGTGTGTGTGTTTATATTATATATATATATATATATAAACTTAAAATACATATATATATATATATATACTCTTGAAGAGTAGCATACATATACACTCACCTAAAGGATTATTAGGAACACCTGTTCCATTTCTCATTAATGCAATTATCTAATCAACCAATCACATGGCAGTTGCTTCAATGCATTTAGGGGTGTGGTCCTGGTCAAGACAATCTCCTGAACTCCAAACTGAATGTCAGAATGGGAAAGAAAGGTGATTTAAGCAATTTTGAGCGTGGCATGGTTGTTGGTGCCAGACGGGCCGGTCTGAGTATTTCACAATCTGCTCAGTTACTGGGATTTTCACGCACAACCATTTCTAGGGTTTACAAAGAATGGTGTGAAAAGGGAACAACATCCAGTATGCGGCAGTCCTGTGGGCGAAAATGCCTTGTTGATGCTAGAGGTTGATGCCACTCATCTCCACTACAAATAGGAAAAATAGGCTACAATTTGCAAGAGCTCACCAAAATTGGACAGTTGAAGACTGGAAAAATGTTGCCTGGTCTGATGAGTCTCGATTTCTGTTGAGACATTCAGATGGTAGAGTCAGAATTTGGCGTAAACAGAATGAGAACATGGATCCATCATGCCTTGTTACCACTGTGCAGGCTGGTGGTGGTGGTGTAATGGTGTGGGGGATGTTTTCTTGGCACACTTAAGGCCCCTTAGTGCCAACTGGGCATCGTTTAAATGCCACGGCCTACCTGAGCATTGTTTCTGACCATGTCCATCCCTTTATGGCCACCATGTACCCATCCTCTGATGGCTACTTCCAGCAGGATAATGCACCATGTCACAAAGCTCGAATCATTTCAAATTGGTTTCTTGAATGAGTTCACTGTACTAAAATGGCCCCCACAGTCACCAGATCTCAACCCAATAGAGCATCTTTGGGATGTGGTGGAACGGGAGCTTCGTGCCCTGGATGTGCATCCCACAAATCTCCATCAACTGCAAGATGCTATCCTATCAATATGGGCCAACATTTCTAAAGAATGCTTTCAGCACCTTGTTGAATCAATGCCACGTAGAATTAAGGCAGTTCTAAAGGCGAAAGGGGGTCTAACACAGTATTAGTATGGTGTTCCTAATAATCCTTTAGGTGAGTGTATATATACTAATACTAGTGTATATATATACCGTTCAAGTTTTAAATTGGTAAGATTTTTTTTTTTAAAAGAAATATTTTCTGCTCATCAAGGCTGCTTCTATTTGATCCAAAATACAGCAAACACAGTAATATTGTAAAATATTTTTACAATTGAAAATAACTGTTTTCTATGTGAATATATTGTAAAGTGTAATTTATTCCTGTGATCAAAGCTGGATTTTCAGCATCATTACTCCAGTCTTCAGTGTCACATGATCCTTCAGAAATCACTCTAATGTGATGATTTGATGCTCAAGAAACATTTCTGATTATTATCAGTGTTGACAACAGTTGTGTATGTGTGTGTGTATCAGCAAATCAGCATATTAAAACGATGTCCTTAAAAAATGAAGTATCAATTTTCCAGACAAGGAAAATGCAGCTTTAAAAAGGAGACTTAAGAATGAATTAATTTACCTTTATTCTATTATAATAAGCCCAGAAATAATCAACAATAAAACCTTATATACAAATCATAGCGAACAGAAGAGGTGTTGTGAAGAGCACATGCAGGTCAGAGTATCACAGGATCAGCGGCACGTACAGTAATATATCAACGTCAGCAAAGTACAAGAAACATGAACAATATACATCCAGTAACAAACCACATGATGTTCCACAGACACAGGAAGAAACTGAAATTCATAAGTTAATAATGTCATTTCTTTTAGTACCAGTATTCAATATTTTCGCTGATTTAATGATTAGTTCACTTTTAAATCAATTTCAATTCAAATAGGTGGATATGCAGTACTGTGTAGTCATATAAAAAAGTAAGGGTTAGCAATTTTAGTACAATAGCATGTAGCTTAATTTTGCTCAATTCTGCAGAACTAGTATGACTGGTATGATGATAATGTTATTCCGAATCAATCTCTGATGGGGCTTGGTTTTCAGTGCAGCGCTGTTGTAAAGAAAAGGAAAGTGAATGAAAGAACTGAGCCTCTCAGGTGGAGAGCAAGAAAGAGACTAAAGTGTTTTTCTTGGATTGATTTGAAGCAAATATTTCCAGTTAGATTGCTGCTCCCTGCTGATTGGTCCTGCAGTTCTTGTCTGGGTCATGTGATTCCTGTGGACCGCACATGTGTGAGGCTGAGGAGCAGATGCTGTCCTCTAGAGGTAATCCAGCTCAAGTGCATGACTCAACGCCTCCAGATCCGGCCGGCACGTCACTCGCCAGAACGGCATGTTCTTCTGCAGGAGTAACCAAGCTCAAGTTCATTTCATTTCAATTCATTCATTTCATATATGGTGAAATACCAATTACTTTATTTTAAAACATATAATGCTAGTTGAAATATTTGTCAGAAATATCTTATTTTGTGAAATTATTAGATTTATTGGACCTTTATTGAAAATTTTAAAAGTATCATATTTAATGCATCAGGCTCATAGAGTCTGAAAATATGGAGCTCAAACTGAGCAAAAATATGCAATTTGGTGCAGATGTTTATAAGACCAAAAAGTATGGATATCTGATGCTTGTAATGTAAATCAGTGAGATCTTTATAACACTATAACAAACTACTTGCGTACATAACATGATATAAATATCAGTTGTCACTCTATATCTGCCAATAATATCCCTTAGTAAGATGACATTTAAATGCTTAGTTTTATGATCAAAAGCTCTGTAGCTTTAAAATATAATGCAATGCACAATGATGTATTATGATATTCAAATGCTTAGTTTTAAACATAATGCAATGCACAATGATGATTGAGAGATGAACAAATAAACCTTCCTCAAAAGCCTGATGATCATATTTGATATAATTTTTTTCTAAAAAATGATGTATAGATAATCAAGTAAACCAAAGTTGCTTCAGTCCAGTAAGTGTTCATCTTGAAATATTACTAATATGAAAGTTGTTTACTTTAAAAAAATCAGTAAAGATTTCACCACATGAACCACGAACTGAAGGTGGACGTTTGTACAATGATACTAAAAAAGAACCATAGTAAAAATAATTGCATGAAAAACAGCATAATTACTCATTCCTTCATACCTTCTTGGCGACCGTCTCCTCCTCGACACCGTCTCCTACGACCACGTACACGGCTCGCCGGCCGAACCTCTGAGTCACGCGCTCGAAGCAGCTTTCTTTACCTGGAACAGGCACACCACGTTAACAATTCTGTTCCTAGATCAGGGAAGCGGTGTGAAAGAGGCAGCGAACCTGTTTTGGTGGCGCTGTAGATGTTCTCGATGGGGAACGCTCCTCCCAGGCCGTAGAGAAGCACTTTAGAGAGAGCAGGAATCAGCTGTGTGGTGGTGACCATCACGTTCACACAGTTTGGTCTGAGAAAGAAACGGATGTTTGGAAAATGAGTGTATTCTAATGGTGCGTTCACGTGCTATGGTAATTATGGTAAATACCAAAAGCCGACGTGGAAAATGCACATGAACACCCCCTCATGTGGTATTTTCCACTGGGCAGCTCGTAGAATATTTTGAGGCACGAGTTGCCGAGATGAGATAACCTTTGACCTTTTTTAAAATGGCGGAGAGCAACGGAGAGTCGTTAATGGTAAAAATATGTACTATTCATGATCTAGAAAATATAGCCTACAGCATATTATTTACGTTTGAGTTTTGATAAATCATTTTCTTGCTGTAGCAGATGACTTAAAGGGTTAGTTCACCCAAAAATGAAAAGTCTGTCAGTAATTACTCTCCCTCATGTTGTTCAAACCCCGTAAGACTTTCGTTCATCTTCGGGACACAAATTAAGATATTTTTGATTAAATCTGAGAGCTGGATCACTCCTCCATAGGCTTCTTAAGGGATCAAAACTGGCCGGCCCAAAAGTTATGAAAGACATCGTTAAAATAGTCCGAGTGACTACAGTGGCTCAACCTTAAGTTTATCAAGCGACGAGAATACTTTTTGTGCGCAAAAAAACAAACAAAAATAACGACTTTATTCAACTATTCATTTCCTTCTCTGTGGGCCTCGAGATTTCATGCAGTGATATTGCGCAAAGCTTCTAGGTTGCACGTCACACGTAGACTCACTATTGGCCGACGCTGGTCATGTGTGTGTGATGCGTGACATACAACCTAGAAGGTTGTGTTCCGAAGATGAACGAAAGTCTTACGGGGTTGAACAACATGAGGGAGAGTAATTACTGACAGAGTTTTCATTTTTGGGTGAACTAACCCTTTAAGCTAAAATAGTTTTAGCTAAATAACAGGTCTGGATCTCCATCTTTTTACCACATTAAGACAACAAAAGCACTTGAACGCAACACACACTGGTAAATACCAGTTCACAAGTGGAAAATATCATATTTTCCATAGCACGTGAACGCACCATTAGGGTGTATTCACACCTGTCTTGCTTGGTGCGGATCTTTTGGGCAGGTGTGAATACAGCGATCGCACTCGGGTGCGGACCAAACAACCGAACCGAGAAGAGGTGGTCTCGGTCCGGCTCCAAACCATCTCTGGTACGGTTCCAATACCTTCGCACATGTGTGGTTTTGTTTACAAATTTTGGTTCACTTGCAAAAAGGGCAGTGTGAACGCGAACCACACCAAACTAAAAAAAATCTACATTGTATTTGGTCCGGACTAAAGCAAGTGAACTAGCGGACTTTCCTAGTGTGAATACACCCTTAAAGGAACAGTGGTGCAACCACAAATCAAAACGTTGATCTGGAATTCTACAAAAGCAGAATTTCACTGTAAAAATACACAAATTTAGAGCTTCGGTGAAGGGGAAGATTTCTAGGGATGCGCACACGGACTAGGGATGCGAATTCGGACAGGCACGGGAAATGAATAACGCATTCTATGGAGCCCCTGAAGGGACATGGTTAGGCTTGCTGTGGTTTTTGGTTACATTACAAAACATCAGATTTCACGTATCACGTGACGAGAGTGAAGCTTGGTTTATACTCGCCGCGTCCCCACTGAAATTACGTCATCGCAGTGCCGGCGGTTGTGTGTGTTGAGACGCCATTTTGTGTGGTGGTACAGTATATGTATGGCAATTTTTTTAAACTTTGCGCGCGGCTCCGCTTGACTTCGATTCTGGCCGAGCCGGTACGTTTGTGTCGGCATCTTACACCCAGTTTGTGCTTGTCTAAATGAATTGCTTACATTTACAAAATGAGCCTACACTAGCAGAAATACGCTTTTTTAAGGAAAATAAAGGTCCATGTTTAATAAACATTTTCATGAAATTGAGTGAAAAATTATTAATTAAATTAGAAAATTGTTGTCTAATTAAGTTTTATACACGTTCTCATTTCTACAGGTGAAACTCGAAAAATTCGAATATGGTGCAAAAGTTCATTTATTTCAGTAATTCAACTTAAAAGGTGAAACTAATATATTATATAGACTCATTACATGCAAAGTGAGATATTTCAAGCCTTTATTTGTTATAATTTTGATGATTATGGCTTACAGATATGAAAACTTTTCACAATATTAGCTAATTTTGAATTTGGGCCGGGTTTTCATAAGCTGTAATCCATAATCATCAAAATTATAACAAATAAAGGCTTGAAATATCTCACTTTGCATGTAATGAGTCTATATAATATATTAGTTTCACCTTTTAAGTTGAATTACTGAAATAAATGAACTTTTGCACCATATTCGAATTTTTCGAGTTTCACCTGTATATATTTTGTTTTAATGCCACAAGTAATAATCTCAAGGTTTACTGTTTTACATGATTCTTTGGTAGTGTGGGTTTGGTGAAGTCAAGTGTAATAAAAACAAACAATCTCTGCATCCAAAATCACAAACTTCCCTTCTATATAATAGGCTAAAAACAGCATGTAGCAAAAGTAGTATGTCTGAATTCACAGCGCTCATTAAAAGAGGAGGCAAAAAGTACCCGGATGACCTTCTAGTTCTGGTGAGATTCTGAAGTGTGCATATGATGGACGGTTTACAATCCCATGAGGCCACAGGAGAGGACTTGTTTTGTGGCGGTAAAGCCACACAACTGACGCTGGTAGTAGGTCACATGATAATGACAATATGGTGAATGTAGTACGTCTAGATTACACTCATACTATATAGAACATACTTTTTATTGGTCGTGAAGTAATTACTTATTCAAAATAAGTACCAACTCAAGAGAGTATACGATTTCAGACGCAGGACTGTCACGTGTGTACCTTACTTCTTCTCACCGCTGCTTCCCGATGGGAGTTTGGGGAGGACAGCGCAGTCAGCGGAGGCTTGGTGAAAGTATAAACAAGAGATGACTGACTGAGGACGATGGCGGGGGATTTGGTGAGCAACAGATCCTGAGCGTCATTGACATGTAAAATGTGTGTTCAGAACCGCCGCTCCCTAAACACACAGTACGCGTGATTGCGAGTTCAAAACTGGAAGTAAAAAGCAAGTGTGCATCCGAAAACAATTTCAATACCCCGCATATTGATAGAGGCTCCCTGATGCTTACATAAAATGATAATAATATCAGTCGTCACTCTATATCTGCCGATAATATGTCTTAGTAATTGATAAAGCTCTATATTTTAAAACACATGATTGCAATGCAATACAATGATGATTGAGAGATGAACAATAACATTTCCTCAGAAGTCTGATGATTATATTTGATACTCGCATTTGTTTTTTCTAAAAAAATATGTATGGATAATCAAGCTGAACCGAAAATAATTACTCAACTATATACGATATTGTGAGAGGATGCAAAAGCATTGAAATATATATATTTTTTGTCCTATCTCATATTTTTTCTTCCATCACCATGTCCCTTTAGGGTCTCCGTAGAATGCGCCATTTGCTTTCCGAACACAGTATTCGGCTTCGGGCACATTTCTAATATCGACTACTTTTATGATGATTTTTGGTTCATTTTTGAAGCTTGACAGGTTCTGGTCACTACATGTATGAAGGAAAGCTTAACCTTTCTTCCGAGTTGAATCAAGGGGCTACGCTTGCCAAGCCTGTTATGTTTGAGTGACACAAAACTGCTGTGAGTTGCTGTAAAGTAAGCCTATTGTTAAAAGAGTATTCCAGATCCAGTATCTGTGAAAAATAGTTTCTGCTCTTAAACTCTACAGCACGCACACGTCGTGTTTATTTAACCTGGATTATTACGTTCTCAAACGGCGGTGTTGTTGTATACCTGGAGTTGATGAGAGCGAGGGCCTTCAGTGCCTGTGTCAGCCACAGATCCGTCAAAACCTCCATCTCCCGCCTCAGCTGAAGCCACTCCTCCCGCTTCGGACTGCCCAGCAAACCTAACATTACAGAAGCAATTTAAGATCCAACTGAACATCAAACAGAAGTTTAATACTTAAAGATGACCAGTGAATTGCAGTGATTTTACAGGGTTGTTTGGCACAAGGTAAAGTTGAACATAAAATCAGTGTAGTGCACGGCCTTGAGTTACTCGCTGCTTTTATAAAACAACAGTAATATGATAAAAGAAACCAATGCACAATAAATCATTGTCTGTTTCTAAAACTACAGGCACTTATGTGACTGATTTATACATTTTTTATTAAAATGAGAAATTTCAAATATTTTTCTTTTTGTTATCTGAAGGTCACATTAAAAGTGCATTGAAAACTTTTTACCATGCTTTCATCAAATATTTTTTCGTTATTTCAAAGAACTGAAAATCCATAGTAAAAATATTATTTTTAAATGTGTACCTTAATGATAAACGATTTGAATATTCATCTTTAAATGAATAAATATTTAACTAAGCATATTGCTCTCATTAAGAATAAAATGCTATTGAACTATATTAATTTCTGCAAGAATTATTAACAATAATATTATTTTTATTTCTTGATATTATTAATGTGGTCAATAATAATACAATTAATAATATCAATTATTATTGTTACTACTGCTTTTATTAAAATTTTCTACCTAGTAACAGTCCTTTAGCCTGGCTGTGCAATGTTTGCAGTTGATGCATTATTATAGACCCCAACTGACGTGCGGTTACAGGTGTTTGCACTACTTCAGCTATTTTACAACGGCTTCCAACGTGTTTCAACCAATCAGATTTCAGAAGAGGAACTAGATATTTCAGGCCCTAATTACCCTCGTAGTCCGAGTTGTTCTCACCTCCTACATTGTTCTTGTATGTGTTGTAGATCTCTTTGACCCGCCGGTAGCGGAAGGCGAGTTTCCTCATCCAGTCGACCCCGCCGTGAACACCTGAGCCCAAGCAGAGCGTGCCTCCACCTGCGGGACTCTGGAAGCCATCTGTGCCGAAGTTATACGTGCTGCAAGTCCAGACACACACACGGTCAGCTTACATCCGCTCTACACACACCAAAACAGTATATCTCCTGACATGCTCCTAAAAGTGAGATTAATATCCATCGTAAATTGTCTGGAACCAGGGCGAGGGTCTGTCTCCAAACTGGGATAAGAGACTATAATGTTTTATAACCAGGATAGCATTATGAGAATTCTGCTTCACAAATTTCACAAAAGGAAATGAAAGAAATATTCCTGATGCTTTTTCATATAGCATAATTTCTTAGTAAATAAATGCATTGAAAAAAGAAAAAACAGGAAATTGAATATTTCTATATGGGATATTTTGAGTTAAAATCAATAAAATATATATTTTTTAAATAAAACATGTTCACTAAATCATATAGACTGCTTTAATAAGTATTTTTTGCAGCTTTTTGAAAATAAATATTCCTGCTGCTTTTTCATATTGTATCAGTTCACAGAACATAAATAAATAGATTTTTAAAAATCAGTAAATTTAAATACCATATTTTGAGTAAAATTCTATACAAGATTATAAAATAAACTAAAATAAAAGATGTTTACTAAATCATATAGACTGCTTTTATTGTTTTTTTTGTGTGTATTTTTGTACTTTTTATTCCTGCTGCTTTTTCATATAGCATCAGTGCATAATAAATTAAAAGAAAAATATTAGATATTTTCAGTAATAATCACAAATAAATAAATAAATTAAAACTATTTACTAAATAATTTAGAGTGCTTTTATTGAACTTTTTTGAGTGTTTTTGTACTTTATGGAATATTTATATAGCATCAGTTCATAGTAAATAAATTATGAGACTGAGAAAAAAAACTGTTCATTGAAACAACATAGTTTGGAACAAGAGGGTTAGTAAATAATGACAGAAATTTCATTTTCTAGAGGTCTGTACTTCAATAATTCAGTGGACATGCTGTTAAACGTGTGATTAATGTCCATCATAAAAAGTCTGGAAGCAGAAATTGAGAAACCATGATAAAAACCAATAGCCTTTAATATTCAACATGTCAGTAGCATGCATTATGTGAAGAAAATGATCCCTTTATGGCACATAATATGGATTTTATTAGAAATGCTCACTTGGCTAGATGAAGGAAAGTCATACTCTACCTCAAGTCCTGCCCATTGTCATCCGAGGCCACATCATCGATGTGAACTTGGTCACATTCCTGGGAAATGAAGGGAAAGCAGATATGCATGAGGTGTATACGTTTCAGTGGAGTGAAGTGATGTACTGTGTACAGACAAGCTCACCCGCCGCCGAGCCTCGGGGAACCACGCTGAGCGAGACTCGAATATTTAAAAAGGCGAACACGGTAAAAGCAGGAACAGGCCACAGCGACACAAGACGTTCAGACGCCTTTAACACCGGAGGATGAAATATCAGAAAGATGGCAGGCAGAACCTCGCCATCTCAACCCGATATCGTACGTTCATTAGCGCCGCGCATTAGCCTTTGTCTTGGCCGAGTCCACGCGTACGACTGCCAGTATACACGCATTACGCTGCTCGATGTATAAGCTGAACATCTGCTCTTTACTTGAGATAATTGTCTAGTGTGCTTCTCCGTGTTGATTTAGCGATACATAACACATGTAAATTTGATAAAGATTTGGAATCGCATAGTCTTACAAACTGAATTACGCTAATCAATGCAAAACAATTACTCAGCCTTTAGCACTGACAAAAGACGTTTTCATATTTATCACAGATATGCCGAATGTTATCATAGTGCAGACCTCCCACTGACTTCAGCTCTTAAATGACTAGATTTTTTCACTTTAAGCAGATCTACTACATTTTCTGTTGGAAATATAAGCCGAATGGTCTTTTAGTGAATTGCTATTTGGTTGCCAGAGTGGATTCCTTCTTCAACGTTCTTGTATTGTATTATTTATGATTATGCATGAACATTTGTTTTCCAACCACCTATCTCTGATATTAATCACCCATCCTAAATATTGAGCTTTTCACTCTTGAACTATTCTGCTACCTTACCAGACATTAATTTGATTTTTCGGATTAATTAAAGCTTTAAATGAGCAAGTAAGGCCATCAATCACGCTTGTGTTTCTAAGCTGTGCAGTTGTTTTGCCGGCGGCATCTTTCTGTTCCCCAGATGACAAATAGATTTGAATGCTGAATGATTCCTTGGACTATTTGAGGGCAATTACAGGGAAAAGAGAAGAAGAGGGAAGGGGCTGTGATTAAAACCTGTGCCCTCCACCCCTGAGCTGTTGTTCCTCCCCGGGACAAATCTTCTTTTCAGTGGCGGCCACACACCCCTACTTAAGCACTCAAATGTTGTAATTTTTTTGCACCGCCTCCTCGAAAGCTTTTAAAGAGTCTAATCCCTCCTTTCTTCATGCAGAGGGCAAACTGAGGTCTTTTCACACACTGACTTTGCATTTATTGTCAGGACTGTTGAACAAACACTTTAATGTCCTAAATTAACTTTTTTTTGTTGTTGTTGAAAGTTTACCACCAGTCATAAATATTTCTTACCAGCCATTAATTTGTATTTTGCATCACAAGCACTAAAAGTTTAGGGTCAGTAAGACTTTTTTTTTTTCTTTTTTTTTTAAAGAAATGATTACTTTTAATTTAGCAACTGATGTTTATAATTTTACAAAAGATTTGATTTCACATAAAAGCTGTTTTTTGAACTATATATTCATCAACAAGTCCTGAAAAATGTATCTCGGTTTCCACAAATATACTGTAAAAAGTATTTCAACATTGCTAATAATCATAAATGTTTTATTGAGTAGCAAATCATCATATCTGAATGATTTCTGAAGGATCATGTGACACTGAAGACTGGAGTAATGATGCTGAAAATTCAGCTTTGATCACAGGAATAAATTACACTTTACTGTGTATATTCACATAGAAAACAGCTCTTTTAGATTGCAATAATATTTCACAACATTACAGTTTTTAATGTATTTTTGATTAAAAAAAACTCCGACACTTGGTGAGCAAAAACATATATATTTTTTTAATTTTGCATTTTTTAACTTTTAATAGTAGTGAACACACACACATATATACTATATATATATATACATATATATATATATATGTGTGTATATAAGTATACATTATGTGTGTGTATATAGGATTCTTATTACTGTACAGATTGAGGCAAAAATACATTATTTTGTAGTAGTCTACAGTGATGAAGGCTATTTCGATTAGCATTGCATAATCAATATACTTTATTCTTATTAAAATACCTGATGATGAGTCTACCTCTGGCTTCGAGTTTTACTGCAATGATCAAATTCAGGTTTAATGATAATTCAAATGTGAAACGGTACTAACCGTATTGTGAAGGCGCTAACAGTTTTACTGCAGTGTGTAAGACATTGCACTGTTTGTTTTCTTTCTGGCTCATGTCTTGATTGAAATTTCAGTGAATTATTCATCACAACTATACATTTATTTTCAACCAAACATGTTAACACACCCTCTACATAAAGTGAGTGTCTTTATTTTTTATTTTAAACAAAATGCCTCAGCTTTTCTACCTGTTGATAATTAAAATAAATGCGACTGGAATCTAACGATGCCATAGTAGGCTAGCGAACGTGTCCTCCAGTTTTAAAGATAAACCGCACTGTCTCGTTTTAGCAGAAGTATTTGTCAAGAAGGTTCAACAGTGTTAAGTTAAAGAGCGCAAACTTTATCAGTCAACTGAACTGAGCATCTTGCGCAATCCAAGCAATAAACGCACGTCTTTAAATGAGCGTAGACGTAGATCAGCGATGATTGACAGGGCAGGGGCCAATCAGATTTCAGCTGGATTGACAGGTGTTCTAACAAGTTTAGATTTAGACCAATAAGAGAAGTTTATTACATGGCTCTCTGGAATACTTGGTTCTGATTGGTCAATCCCAGTATTCTGCTGCGAATTTTTTTTTTTTTTAATGAGCCGACCATCAACTTTTGTGCTAGTTTTATGTCTAATACTTTCTTCTTACATTATAAAAGTTTTTATAACTGACACGATGGCTTTAACAATCCCGAGTGGTTTTGCTCACCTCCAGATCGTTGAAAAACAGACGTGAATCGGCCAAGTTGAAGATCATCTCCTCCATCCACAAGCCCAGAGAAACAGCCTTGCCGGAGTCCTGGATCAAAACATAAAGAGCACATCAAATTAGTTTTCATACCTGGTTTGAACTTTGCGCATGAGTGACAGGTGATGATTATGTCACTCGGAGTAGGAGCGTGCGGTACAACAGGTTTTTTGTCTGGCAAGAATGCTGTGGTTTTATTCAGAAACATGTCAAACTACAGCTATTTCTCTTTCTCTCTTGTTTTCTCTTCGTTCTGTAGGTGAAGCCACATGCTAACATAAGCTGTCATTGTGCGCCACTAGCTAACATGGCCACGTTTGGCAGTTGATCAAGCTACAGGTGTCAGCCAGAGGTTAGTGTCAGATTAACTGTGAAACGATTCTTCCTCTACGCCTGATCATTGTTGGCGAATGCTGTAGCCAGAGGAGCTGCGAGTTTGTCCTGCTTTAATTAAGATAATAACCCATAATCTACCGCCATGAATGGACGACTTTATTACAGGTGGCAGTCAAGCGAAGATTAATACATGTACCACCAATGAACATTTCAGAATGGATTTTTAGGAAGGACTGTAATAAAGTTACGACATATGGGAAAACAAAAACATTCTGGCCAAAATGTTGTAACTTTTTGTTTCAACAGTCGAAACTTATTGTAAAAACTTGATTGTAATTGGCATGGTTAAAAGAAATCTAATTTTCAAAATGAAATTATTTCTAAATGTACATTAGAGGCAAGCTCATGTGTAAATAAATGTACCATCAAAACAATGGGAAATACAAAATAAATGTAATATATTTATTTTGTAATTTTGTATCTGATAAAAATGAATCATTGTTCATTTTTGGTATTTACCAATTTATATATATTTGTGTGTGTGTAATTTTATTAATAATATAAATTATTATATATATATATATATATTTATATATTATGAAAATGATTTATTCTTCATTCTTTATATATATATATATATATATATATATATAAAATTCATTTATTTTTATTTTATCTTATATTTTATCATATTTTTATTTTATCTTATATTTTATCATATTTTTATTATATATATATATAAAAAGAATGAAGAATAAATATTTTTCACATAATTTGTTTTATCTTATATTTTATCATATTTTTATTATATATATATATATATATATATATATATATATATATATATATATATATATATATATATATATATAAAAAAAATAAGATAAAATATGATAAAATATAAGAAAATAAAATAAAATTAATATATATATATATATGTGTATGTATGCATGTATATGTGTGTGTGTGTGTGTGTGTGTATGTGTATATATATATATAAAAATTGTTCTTGAGGGGGTGCCATAAATGATTGTGATAATTTGGACTGGAAAAAACATAACTTGATGTTAAGTTAAGTGTGTATACATATTGACCAAGGATAAATGGCATGTGGAATGGTAAAGAGACTCCAGTAACCTCTGACGTTCACCTCAGCTTGAAAAAACACATTAGAAAACGGGCGTCTTTCAACACTCAGAGTGGTTTTGTATTCAGTAGGTCGAGTCTTGCTGTGGGCCAATCACAGCTCAAACAGGCTGTTTACAGTGATGGGCTTGTGGCTTTGACATAAAGTACGAATAAAAAGAAAAGCGAGTTAAATATCACGTTACTTAAAGATGCGAAATCTGAGCCAATGCAATCGCGGCTCTTTGTCAGACGGTAAGCAGCTTTGTCATGACACACATCAAACTTGTTCCTATTTAACTGGAGTTTTATATGGATGTTTTCTTAGATTTTTTTATCTCCAGTGGATTCCTGCCCGAGTAATAAGCTATTTTGGAGTCTTTTTCCTGGATCTGAAATTAGACGCATTAGTCACGGTAACATTTCTGCAGTCCTCAAAAAGAAAATGCAAAAGAGCTGCGCTCTCGAGACGGCCAGGCGTTTCTCAGAGTCTCTTATGTGTCACGTCAAATCCGCAAGGGATCGTGGGAATTCAAAATAGATTGCGGGCCAAGAAAAAGAAACATGACCATTGTTTCCTCATCAGCTGCCTGGAGATTGCGTAGAAGTTCATGTGGCGTCAATCAAATCAGAGCGGCCAAATAACAAGCCCGCTTGACTGGAGCTTCGCTATATCTTTCACTGTTCATTTCATTCTTCCGCATTTAGTTTCTTACTCTAAAACAGCTGTGGAACCATATTTATTTACTGGAGAAAATAGATCAAATACTTAAATGCAGTTCTTTTGAACTTATGAATCATCAAATAACACTGAATTTGTTTTATTATTATTTTATGTAATTTTTCACAATATTTCTTCCTTTACAGTACTTTTGATAATAAATAAATGAAATAACAAATATATGCTTCTTTCTTACCGACCCCCAATGTATAAACAAGATGTGTGTGTGTGTGTATATATATATATAAATATATAAGATTGCATTTATTTGACAAAAAATACTGTAAAAAAAAATAGAGCGTGTGTGTATATATATATATACACACACACACACACACACAGTATATATGCATTCTGGATTAATAAAAAAGTAATCATTATTCCATTGTTATTTAATATATACAACTTTTTTGGAGTTGAATTAACTGCCAAAAAAACTATATTGTGATTTATGCCATTACTGTTAACACATTACACATACCACATTAAAAGATACATACAGGTGAAACTCGAAAAATTTGAATATCGTGCAAAAGTTCATTTATTTCAGTAATTCAACTTAAAAGGTGAAACTAATATATTATATAGACTCATTACATGCAAAGTGAGATATTTCAAGCCTTTATTTGTTATAATTTTGACGATTATGAAAACCTTTTCATAATATTCTAATTTTGAATTTGGGGTTTTCATAAGCTGTAAGCCATAATCATCAAAATGATAACAAATAAAGGCTTGAAATATCTCACTTTGCATGTAATGAGTCTATATAATATATTAGTTTCACCTTTTAAGTTGAATTACTGAAATAAATGAACTTTTGCACCATATTCGAATTTTTCGAGTTTCACCTGTATTCAACTTTTTAAAAACTCCCTCAATAAAACAGAGTATTGTGTTGTAAAGCAGAACTAAAGCAGTGTCAGGTTGAGTGGTGCGAGTGGAGGAACTGGTTTGTACCTTGCCGAAGCGTGTGGAAAATGTCCCCGTGAGGAGCGAGTGGAAAATGATGATGGTCTCATCCAGGTCCCAAATAAACACTCTCTACACACACACACACACACACACACACACACACACGATGAGCATGAGCACAAATATAATCTGCTTACTAATCAAGAGAAGTATTTACTACAAAACACTGCATAATATCTCAATGTTGTGTTTATGATAAAAACGTCTGATAATTGTAGTCAGTTCATCCACATTTCACAGCTTAAGGGCAAACGCTCTATATCTCATATCACACTACCGTACATGTTGTGCAGAAATATGTTTCCAGTTTTTTGTCTGGTAATTAAATACTTAAGTCTTTATATTTGAAGAGCTTTTTGTTTTGCAAAGAAAACACACATTTATTTCAGTCTGCTGTTGTTCAAAGCATGTATGACTTGAGATGAGTTTTTAAACTTGTATTGTGCTTTTTAAAAAATTGTATCAGTCCATTGTATGAAAAAGACAGATTGGACATTCGGGTTGTTTAACATGCATCCGGAAGAAAGTCATACAGGTTTGGAACGACACGAGGGTGTGTAAATGATGATAAAACATTAATTTAAGGTGAACTATCCCTTTAAACTCGTTGTCTACTCCTGTGAGTTATCATGAGGTTGTTGCCAGACATCATTGCACAACTGGACTGTTGGATGTGAAAGCTGTCCCTGTGGTGTGGAGCACGGGAATGTTAATGAAAGACGTTGTGTAAGGGACACCGTGAATGCCAGCATCTGTACCTCAATGTCAGAGTCCAGAGGGGGTCCGGGGTCATTGGCCCGTTTCCGGCCCCTGAGCTTCACATCCGAACTGCGTCTCGCCGGAGCGCCTTCCTGATCCTTTCCTGGAGTCGGTGGACTCGTGGGAGCGTGGTACTCTGCTGGTGCACACACACATATGCACACACACACACACACACATACACGTACGTGATGACGTTGTTTAAATAGAGACATACAGTCAAATCAAAAAATATTCAGACACCAGATATAATTTTTGATATTTATTTAGTAGTGTGTGCAGGACACTATAGTTCATTTATGTAAGTGAGGATAGCAAAATAAAGTAAACTATGACATATTATACACTAATATTCTTCATACAGTGAAAATTTATAAAAATCTGGGACCAAATATTATTCCGACACTTTGACCTGATCATGTTTTGCTTACATGTTTTTTCTGTAATTGCTAATGCGACCTTTTTACACACAGACTGAACAACATGAAGCATTGCTTGGTCACTGGTTGAGCTAAACTGGTATTATCTAATTGTGTAGTTAAATTTAACAGCTGACAGATATTCAACATAATTCATGTGTGAGAGTCTAACAGAAGGACGGACAAGACCAGTCAAATATCAACTGATCTCATAACTCTTGAGTTCTTGTCATATTTTATTACCATTTTCTAAACTATAGCGAATAAACTGTGATAATGTGAGAAATGCTGAAGGTGTCTGAATAAATTTTGGTTTAACCAAATATCTGAATAGCAATGCAAATATTAGCAATATTGTATTAAATACCAAAATACATCATGCATAATAATGTCAAATGCAAACTTTTAAAATGATACAGCATAATTTGGTTATGTTAATATTTTGTAGTATTTATTTAACATATTGAAACATTCTTTGCTTTATATTCAAATAACATATAGAGAGGCATATACTCTAAAAGCCTGATATTAAAGCAACTTGACTTTTTTGGAAAGTGCCATTTTTTTATTCCCTAAATATTGAGCTTTGCTTTATACTCAAATCACATATACAAGGAGACATATTGTCAAACATCTGGATATGAAAGCAACTTGGAATGTTTTATTTATTTTTTATTTCAAGTATTTTTTTTATATATTTTATGTAACTTTTTCATAATATTTGTAATAGTATTCCCTATATATTGACCATTATTCTCCAATTACATATAGCCTATATATATAAAGACATAATAAAAATCTGGATATTAACGCAGCAATATATCCATTTAATATTTTTTTCCTTACTAGGTTTTTAATAGTATTTTCACAAGTATATATAATATAGTATGTTAGTATAGTATGCCTCATGGTTTCTCACCATAGAGCTCACCTGTGTGGGATTCTGGGCTGTGATTGGTCGATACAGCGGGATGATCTGTGTGCTGATAGGGTATCGCCGTGGTGATGGCAGAGGGTGTGATGTTGCTGCTGGTGATGTACGGGCTGTTGTAGTGTGTGTTGTAGTATGGAGAATATTGACTTGGGCTGTAGCTAGAATATGTTGAGAAATCCTGATGGAGACAATGACATGAATGAATAATCTCAGACAACTACATACCACTTTTTTTTATTGATTTTATGTCTCATTTTTTATTTAAGTCCATCTAAACCCTACTGTGGCAGTATCTTGTTTCTCTGATTACAAAATTCATATACCATAATAACTCCATTTTGGTAAAATTTTACAAAATAGTCCCATTGCTTAACATTAGTTAATGCATTAACTAACAATGACCTATACATTTGTTACAGCATTTATTAATCTTTGTTAATATTAGTTAATAAAAATACAACTGTTCATTGTTAGTTCATGTCAGCTCAGGTCTATTAATATATATTAGCTAATGTTGAAATATACAGTAAGTATGATTAATAAATTCTTCAAAAGTACTTTTAATTGTTAGTACATGTTAACATATGTTGGGAGACAAAATCTGATTTCAGATATTAAAGCAACTTAAAAAAAATTGGTTTTAAGTTTTAACAGTTTACAAGTTTGTAGTATTTTTTCTGATTTTCATACAACTTTTTCATAATATTATTAATAGTATTTTACTATATATAAGTATTCCCTATATATTGACCTTTATTCCCAGATTACATATATAGAGATACAGTATAAAATATTTGATATAGATATTAACGCAGCTATATATAATTTTTTTTAATGCATATATATATATACATATATATATGTAATTTAGTATTTTACTTTTTCCTTACTATTTAATGTAAAGTGTTTTCAAAATTGTAAAGACAAATATCTAGACATTCGAGATAGGCTACATTGACTTGAGAAGCAAAAAAAAATTTTTTTTCCCAAAATAAATAAATAATAAAGTTACAAAATGTACTTAATTCAAAGAGAAAACAAGATAAAAAAATGTCTGACCCAACTCTTTTTTTTAAGCAAAAACTCTTAATTTTGATAAGCAAACAAGTCACGTTGGTTCTCAAGTCAATGTATCTTGATTTAAGAATGTTTAGATATTTGTACTGGAAACGATGCAAAAATACTTAGGAAGAAAACCCTTTTTTTGCATCGATGGCTTAAGTGAAACTGTAATATATCAAAAAAACAAACATAATTTCATAATTATGATGTATTGTAGCCATGTGACATATATCACACGTCGAGTGCGTGGAGTCGTAGTCCATCAGGGAAGGTTCTGCTGATTTGACACACCTGCTGTGTGGGACTGAATGGCGTTGAGCCGGTGATGCTGTTTGCACCCTGGAAAATTCCAGAAGAAATGCTGCCGCCTGGAAAAGAAGCACAAAGCTAGTTTAAGAGCGTGCTTCGAGCTGACTGTGGTAAAGCCCGGCCCCGACACATCCAACACAAACACAGCGCAGGAAACACGACAGGCAGCGGCTGGTGAAATATAGACACGTTTAAAGCGCTCACAGAAAGTCTGCATGATTTATGACTCTGAAAACAGTTCAGGTGGAGCCGAGAGCAAATCCGCTATCGGACTTTCAGGGCCAGAATGTCTTTCTCCAGACCCGTCACTTTCCCTTCACATCCACGCTCGTTCTCTCTCTGAAACCTGCCCTAGATAAATGACTCTGTCAAACCAGCACCGAATCTCGGAGGAAGCGAGCAAAGTCTTCAAAGGGGGAGGGAGAGGTGGGCGAACGCGCTTGTGATTTTCTCCACAGCGGTGAAACGCGAGGACCTTTGGCACCCAGAGAAGGGTTATTTATTTCATGCTACAGCAGGTCTCCTGTTGGAATTCTCCTATAAATCAAACGAGACCGGCGAGATGTAGCGCGAGACGTAGCAACCGCGTTTTCCCAGACCCATTAGAAATCCATCCATTTCACGAGCAGACAATTTTACAGGAAATGATGTCTCGGGGTGCTTATGAATTACAGTAAATCACTATAATACCTAATAGATTATCTGGTATGGCACTAATAACTCATTGATTATGCTAATTGGACAGACAGGAAGTAGATGTCATATGACTTTGTATGTCTCTATCGAGGCTCACTATTTGCAGTCGTTCCTTAAAGCACACACACACACACACACACACACACACTACTTTACAAGAGTTTGGGATCAGTGAGATTTGTTCATGTTTTTGAAAGAAGTCTCTTATTAAGTCTCACCAAGGCTGCATTTACTTGGTCAAAAAACAGTCAAAATGTTTATATTGGTTTTTCAGGATTTTGGGATTAGTAGAAAGATTGAATAATGCTATTTATTTGAAATAGAAATCTTTTGTAACACTATAATGTCTTTAATGTCATTTTTGGTCAATTGAATGTGCCCTTGCTGAATAAAATATCGATTTCTTTCCAACGAAATGATATATTGTGACCAACTGCTTTCAGGACAGAAAGCGGACAGTGGACAGAAAGCGGTATAAAAGCATCATAAAAGCAGTCCACTGTACATGCACACTATATTTCACGTCTTCAGAAGTCAGACTCACTGAAAATCTTCCCGTCCACTGTAGCACTTAAATATCATTTACACATTTGGCACGTCAAGACATGATGCGGTTAATGAAACCAAACATTTAGCATGTGCCAACTTTGGCGGAAGAGAAGATTTTTAGCGAATAATGATTAAAATTTAGTCTGATAGTCTAACCCCAGTGTTATTTTAGTATTTTTTCTACAATATTTTGAATGAACTTTTATTTAAATGTTTTTTTTATATATATATTTAATTCAATTTTAGTTACATTTTTTGCAATTTTGCTGTGTGCTTTTGTAATTTTTATTAGTTTTTTTTTTTTTTTTTTTTTTTACAATTTACAATTTAGGTTTAATTCATTTTTTCAGTTTCAGTTCATTTTTATTTATTTCCGGTTAGTCATTTTTATTCGTTTTTTTTTTTTTTTTTTTTTACAATTTACAATTTAGGTTTAATTCATTTTTTCATTTTTAGTTCATTTTTATTTTATTTCCGGTTAGTCATTTTAGTGCTTCAACTTAGTTGCAAAGGCAACATTTCAAATTTTGTTAAGTTTAAGTTTTTATGTTTTTTTTTTTATCTAATACATACTTCAGCTTTATTTCATTTAACAAATAAGTTTAAAAAAATAGTTTTAGTAATAGTAATACAATTTAGTAAATGATAATAACCTCACAATAGCCTCCCAAAAAGCTATCATATGGTTTTAGAAAACTTTAGGTTACACTTAATTTTGGTGTTCAATATGACACATTCTTCTAACTATAAGGATCTTTGCAACTACACTACCGTTCAAAAGTTTGGGGTCGGTACGATTTTAAATACTTTTAAAAGAATTCTCTTCTGCTAACCATGGCTGCGCTTATTTGATTAAAAATACAACAAAAATCAGTTATAGTATTAAATATTATTCCAGTGTAAATCAGCTGTTTTCTGTGAGAATATATAGTAAAGTGTAATTTATTCCTGTGATCAAAGCTGAATTTTCAGCATCACCAGTGTCAGTGTCTTCAGTGTCAAATGATCCTTCACAAATCAGTATAATATGAGGATTTGATGCTCAAGAAACATTTATTATTATTATCAATGTTGAAACAGTTGTTGGTCTGTCAGTTGTACAGTTTTTTTTTTTTTTTTTTAGGATTCTTTGATGAATAGGAAGTTCAAAAGACTTTTGTAACATTATAAATGTCTTTACTGTCACTTTCGATCAAATTAATTATTCCTTGATAAATAAAAGTATTGATTTCTTTCCTCCAAAAAATAAAAATAAAATTCTCACTGACCCCAAACTTTTGAACGGTAGTGTACATGTTAACTAACATGACTGTTAGGTTTTAGGTTAGTAGAATAAGTTGACTTGTAGTTGCAAAGTTTGGTTACGCTTTATTTTAAGGTGTCAGTGTTACAGTGTTATACATTTAAGTACCGAGTAATAATAATTAACAACATGTACTTACTGTAGGGTTAGGGTTAGGAATAGGGGTTGGTTTAGGGCTAGTTGCATGCAATTCTGCATAATTTATAGTTATTACTACAGAAACTACATGTAACACGTTTAACGAACACTGTAAAATTAGGTGTTACCTAAGCTTATTATTAAGCTTTTATTTAGATAGGGACAGATACAAATAACATAGGTACACTTTAACAGTGATCTGATGCATGTATCAATGTTTTTAGCCAAAGCTAATTTACAACATTTGTCCCTAGAAGGGCTTTTTGGTAAAATGTAATACATGCAATACAATATGTAAACAATGCGATAAGATATGGGCTTTTTGATAAATGCAATACCAGGATAAGAATAGTAGTACAAAAAAAAAAAAAAAAAAAAAAAATATATATATATATATATAAATAATACAAAAGGAGCAGAGTCAACAAGGACTAAATATGTGAACAACACTGTTCCTGAATTAACCACAATTTGGTTTGTTTTTTAAAGATATCTAATGTCGGGATGCATTTCAGATGATCTGGCAGAGAATTCCACAATTTTGCCCCTTTCACTGAAACAGAAGCCTGAGCAAATGATGTTCTACAAAAAGGGATATTACAAGTGACTTTAAAAGCGGATCTGGTCGGTCTAGTGCTTTGTCGTCTTATTATTATTTTGCAAAGCGGTAGTGGAGCAACAAATAAGTAAAGTTACTTATAGTCAGTAGAAAGTCTGTTGGTGGAGCATCAAAATATTAGTGGATATTAAGCAGACAGTCTACTAATACTCTAATGAGAGTTAGCTGACATGGAGTTGCAAAGTTACTTATAGCTAGCAGAATGTGTAAAGTGATAGTGTTACCAAACTTAATATAGTACATTTATGTTGCTTTTTTGTCCTTTTAGGATGTTGATGTGTTCATCATATGCTTTCACAGCATGAAAAAAACAACTTTGTGTTCCATATGAAGAAACTATGGAAGTTCAAGAAGTAAATGATGATGACTAGCAAATGATTCTATTCCTTTAAACCTGAAAACGTGCCTAGTGCCACTTCACCTTTGACCTTGACCGAGAACGGTCAATTTCACACTGCGGTGGCAAAATCAGGACTGCGGGCAGAAGAGGGGTGTGTGACTGCGATCCGACGCTCAGATCCCGTCTCACACTCTCTCCCACACAAACACACTCCTCCAATGGCCAGCGTGTTGTGGAAGGGAACGGAGAAAGGTTCTGACCTCCTGAGAGAACGAGAGGGACGCCTGACGCCAGAGCCCAGACCGCGGATAATGGGGAACAGGTGTGTGTGTGTGTGTGTTGGGGGGGGGATTCGACTGTAGATGCTGAAAAATCTGTGTGTGTTTGTGGGGATTTTACTAATTATCCACCAGACATAGATGTTCAAAAAACGTGTATTTGTTTATAGGTAGGCGATATCAGCAAAAATATTATAATGTTCTGGTGGATTATATTTATTAAATGACTTTTGGGATATTCGGTCAATCATGTTTGTATAATGATGCTATACTGTATAATGCGGTTAATAATATATATTGCTGACTATTCTGCAAGCAATTTCTGTGCTATTTATTTAGTCTCACACTCTTTTTCTTCTGTTATAGTCCTGATCTCCATGTCTGGGTTATTTTCTGCGATAAAGCTGTCTGTTATTTATCTCTTACATCTAATGATATACACTATGGTGTAATAGTGTGGGGACAGAGTTTTTATTTTTTAAGAATTTAATGCTTTTATTAAGGGCACAAAGGACACTTAAAAGTGACACGTATAATGTTACGAAAGACTTCTGTTTCAAATTAATGCTGTTCTTTTGAACTTTCTATTCAGAAATCTATCACAGTTTCCACAGAAATATGAAACATCACAATTGTTTTCAACATTACTAATAATCAGAAATGTTTCTTGAGCAGCAAATCATCATATTAGAGTGATTTCTGAAGGATCATGTGACACTGAAGACTGGAGTAATGATGCTGAAAATTCAGCTGATCACAGGAATAAATTACACTTTACTATATATTCACACAGAAAACAGTTATTTTAGATTGTAATGATATTTCACAATTTCTTTTTTTTAAGACATAAAAAAAATCTTACCGACCCCAAACTTTTGAACGGTAGTGTACACATTTTTATGGAAAACTCATTGGCATTTTAACACCGGACTTAAAGGCATAGGGATACGTTCACCACCTGATTGGTCGGCTTTTATGACGTATATTTCGAACTGAACATCTAAAACAATGCTGTGTTCTGGGCTAAATGCGCTCGCTGTATGTGCGTAGCTACATATGATGGTATTCTGACCAGCTGAGAACTCGTGAAGAGCTTATAAATGTGTAAAGGAGTCAAAACAGCGTCAGGAATCCTCCGTCACACACACACACACACACACAGATCTGCAGTGAGGAGACGCGGTTCTGATGCTTTTACTGAACTGTGATGGGAAACATTGCCACATAGCTGTTTTTTTCTCATCATAATTTCAGCATTCTGTCCTTTATAGGGTCGCATCTAGTGACATCATGTCCTGTTTTTGGTTCGTTTACATGTCTTTGGTCCGTGTTGTGATCATATATCATTCGAACCGCACCAGAGTGTTTGGAAGCGGAGCGAGACTCATCTCTTCAGCTTGTTTAGTGTTCAGATGGCAGCGTTCACACTTATTCAACTGAACCGCACTAACAGAGGGTTTGTTTTAATCCAACCAAACATGCCGAGTGTGAACACACCCTTATGTTCCACAGATGCACCTTTTTACTAACAACCTTGTCCTTGTTTCCTCTGCATGTAAAGTGATGGGCACATATCATGCTGTGATACTGAGATGAGGCTGTGACACTGACCGTGTGAGGAGTAACTGTACAGCGCCTGACCGGGTGGCGTCCCGCCGAAGTTCGACGTGTATCCCAGCAAACTGCTCTGTCCTGGTGAATGACTCAAACCATCTTCTGTTTTAATATCTGATCAGGTGAGAGACAGACAGTCAAATCAGCTGTGATGTGCACTATTTAGGGTGGTTGTGAATGGACACTGAGAACTCACTGTAGGACGCCATGCTGTAGCCCTGTGTGTGATGTGTGTATGGTGTGTAAGGGCCCGTCGGCTGTAACGCAGGGCTGTACTGCGTCTGTCCGTAAGCAGCCATGACTGATCTGAGGACAGCTGGTCTGAGAAAACAAAGAGCTGTCGTTAGAGAAACTGAATCTTTACAATAAACAGACAACATCTTTCTAATGCAATGTTCTCAAACACACACGCACGCACGCACACAGATTCATAAATGAGCAAGCAAGTGTTATTTCACTAATATTGAGACACTAATATATTTTTTTATTTTTTATAAAGTTTTATTAATTTTGTTGTGTGGTTTTGCAATTTTTATTATAGCTTTTATTAATTTTTATTCCAGTTTTAGTTGTTTTAGTACATCAAGTTAAACTAAATGAAAAGCTGAAATAATTTTTAATATTTTATTTTATTTTTAGTAATCATTTTTTATAGCTTTAGTTAACTAAAATAACTCTTACTGAAACTCTTTCTAAAATTACCGTACTAAAAGAAATGTAACTGGATAATTGAATCATTAATGGAATCCAATCTGTGAACAAGTGAATCATGTGAGCCGATTTGAGGTTGATTCATGATCAATTAATAAAAAAAGAACCACTTCACGAGAGTCATTTGTTTATGAATCGGACTTAACTGGTTGTGCTTTCTGTTCAAATCCATCTCTAAAGTTTGTTAGCAATTCTTCAAAAGTACTAAACCCATCATTAATGGAACCGTTAAAGAATCGGCATCATTAAGTGGAATCCAATTCACGAGCAAATGACTCTTATGAGCAGGTTATTTTTTAATGAATCAGATGTATGAATTGGTCTCAAACTCACGAGTTATCAATTCTTAAAAAAGTACTAAAAGAATCATTAATCAAATCATTAAGGAAAACAAATCTAATTCAGGAAAGATTGAGCCGGTTCTTTTGAATGAATTGGACAAAATAAGTCTCAAACTCATTAGTTATTTTTCCATTATTGTGGAACCAGAATCATTAAGTGGATTTCAGAAAAACAAAAATTTGCAGAATTAATTCAAATTCACCAACAAAAATCTCCACATCTGTAAAACTATGTCATTTGTCACCTTGAAGTGAATGAATTTGCACAGACATTTGTTCTTCTCGTGAAAAAAATGCCAATGGTGTAAGAAAAATAAACTTAATTCAAGTTTAAACCTTGATTTTTTGAATACAGTTTTGCTTGTAAAGTAAATGCATCTTGAGGATGATGATTTGTGCAGTGTGCATCACTCACATGGCCTAAAATCGATGTGTAGGTCGAGAGGCTCCTGCATGAGAACAAAAGAAACACGTCATCTGAATCAGCCTGAATATATTTTAGAGGAAGTTCATTAAATCCAAACTGTGAAGTGTGAAGTTCATCCCGACCTGTCTCTGTCCGTCGCTGTACTTCCGCCTGCACGCGTTCAGCTGTCAGCTCTCCTGAAAAATGACAGACCTGTTTGTTAGGAATACGTGACCTAAAAAGCACACCGGGCTTCGGTCCAACAGCACGCATCTCGAAAGTAAAATATAAAGAAGTGCCCAGAACATAAAAATGCATAAAGCGCAATTCATGTCTAATCATGCCTTACACACACACACACACACACACAAAAAAGGTGAACGGGCAGTATTTCTCAATGGCGAGACACCTGCGGTTTACAAAAACACACATAATTAGAATTCTGCGATAGACAACAGTGAGACGCTTGTTTGTATAAACCGGCTCGGTGGGACTGTGTTCCTGGAACAGAACAATGCCTAACCTGCTTTCTGAACCTGGCATGATCTGGCATAGTAAACCGCAGGCAGCAGACGTGGCAGCAGTTCAGGACGGGGAAAACCATGCTTGTTCTTATACCTGAAAACTGAAAAGTAAGAAATGCAACTGTCCCTGTTCTGTGCTGTAAAGTCACGGTGTGGTAAAGCATGTGGGTATAGTAGTTTGCATGAAAACAAATGAGAGAAGATACGGGCGAAACACGGCAATAACCGCATGTTTGTTGACCTCTTTTTTTTTGTGCTAACCCAGAGGTTTTGCTCAGATGTTGTTCCTTCTCTTTTATGTTTCAAATGTGTCAAGTCAACTCACCTTTATTTATACAGCGCTTTACACAAAACAGATTGTTTCAAAGAAGCTTCACGGGAGATTAACAGAATAAATGATGCAAACTTCATCAAATACAGACTAATTCAAGTTCTGCTGTAATGCAGCTCTAAAAAAAAATACAGTAACATTATTCAACTCAATTCTACAGAAGCGTATTGCATTCACTTGAGGAGAAAAAAAATCGACTCTGTTTTTCTGAATTGACGAGTTAATTATCTCAGAATTACAAGATATTTTTCATGAAAAAAAGTTTTTGCTCTGTTTTTCTGAATTAACGAGTTAATTATCTCAGAATTATGAGATACATTTTTCTTGAAAAACATTTTTTCACGCTGTTTTTATGAATTAACGAGTTACTCATAATTTTGAGATAATTAAGTCATTAATTCAGAAAAACAAAGCAAAATTTTTTTTTTTTCATGAAAAATGATCTCGTAATTCTGAGATAATAAACTCGTAAATTCAGAAAAACAGAGTAGATTTTTTTTTTCCTCAAGTGAATGCAATACGCTTCCGTACAATTCAGTTCAGCGCTGATTCAGTTGTTTTGTGTAAAGTGCATCAATTCTGAAATGAGTTCAATTGAGATATAAGCATCTCCACAGAAGACAATAGTTTAGTCTTTATCTCAGACCTTAGATGAATATCTTTTACACAAATGAGAGAGCTATAAAATGAAAATGGATTGACGCTCAGATCATGTTTGCAATCTCTGACTTTTGATTGCGATAGACTCCAACTTCCCATTGGAAACGCTGTGTCAAGACGAGACAGAAAACCGTGCTTGTGTTTGAGTAAAGTCTTGTTCTCTCGCTGCTATCAGGGAGGATCATCGGATCTTATTTGGTTAACGTTTGATAAACCACTGCGGCCCCAGAATAAATATCTCAGGACGCCGAGACCTGGTCCACGTCTTAGACTAAGACACACGCTTGCGTAAGGTCGCGTCTGACTGAGTAGAAGCACAAAGATGTGATGTTCCTCTAAACGTTCTCCCTCAGGGCTCCTCCATCTGTCAGACACAGCTGCTGTCAGGAGCAAAGACGGAAGAAAACCTAAAACGAGAGCTTTCATGCAATCACGCAAGAGTGGGCATGTACATGTGTGATTTACATGCCAGCTGAACTCTAGCACACATCGAGATCTTTTTTGATTAATCTGACAGGTCAGACCGAGCGAGGTGAGCGATGTTTGGCGTCTGCGGTCGGGGCGGCACCCAGTAAATGTTTAAAACAAACAAAGACAATCTCTCGCCACAGCTCACTCTGTTTTCTCAGTAAACAGTTGCGACACTACTGTACGGCGGGCTTAAGATTGGAAAAAAAAACATATCATGTGACTATTATAACGACAGCAAAGCTGCAATAATTGAAGTGAAACTTTTTACCCCTTAAGAAATGGAAGGAACTTTTGCATGATCATGTGATGGTATTCCATCGATTTGAGCATTTCAGTGGCTGATAAGTTACGATTTTTCTAAAAAGTCAATATAATACCAATATATACAGTACATACTAAAAATGAGATGCATGCAAACTTGCTGAAATGAAAAGAAAATATATACTTGCAATAAAAAAATAGTTATAAGCCTGGCTGATCAATCCAAAATGGTCAAATATTCGGTAATTGTATTTCTACAAACGTATCGAAAAACCAAACAGTTTCCACTGACAGTGTGAAGTCTATTATAAAGACCACTATTGAATTGGCCTGCAAAAAAAGTGCATGTTTAATGTTCTTAAAGCTATTAGCATGGGCATTGACCATGTTACATCAATAGATTACTGTTTTTTTTATATGCTATGTTTAGATTTCACTGTATGCAAATGTCTAGGTTCTCACATGAACAAGATTTGAGAGCTAATCGTACTTGAAAAATAGTGCATGAGTTATATTGACAGACTTTTTATGATTTTTTTTTCCTTTTTATTTACTATAATTGTAACAGAAGGCATCAACAAGTGTTGTTAACTAAAATTAAAAAGATTAAAAATTGTTTTCAAGAACTGAAATTATATTAGATGAAGAATTTTAACTAAAAAAAAAATGTTTAACGAAAATGAGAATGCGAAATTTCACCTTGGCAACTAAATAAAATATAGTAAAAGTATAGTAATTTTCAAAAGCACAACAAAATTACTAAAGCTTGAAATCTGAAAATATAGAAAATAAAAGATAATTGAAAATACTAATAAATACTGTATTTAAAAATGGTACAAATATTATGCTAAATAACTCATTTTGTGACTCCCCATGATTTTCTAACAACAACATGAGGGTGAGTAGATTATCCCTTGGATTTGATATAAACAGGCTCTCGGACATTTGTGCTTGTTTTCAGAAAACAGAAGGAGCTGTTCTGCGGGTCAGAGATGCAGCGGTTCACACTGATGTTTCATCACACCTGCTCTGCTGACGCACCAGTCCTAACAAAACCTTTCCCAAGAAAACAAACATGTCTAAAGAGAGAGAGAGAGAGAGAGAGACGTCTGACACGGGCCGCCCAGTGCAATCCTGACTTCCTCCCAGAGTTCCTGTGATGCGCAGTGTGTTTCCTGGTATGAGTGTGTCCCGGAGTGAGAGGGCATGGGAAAGAACGCTCTACCCCCTTTCACAGTGGTAAACTGAGCTAAAACAAACCCCGGACGGGGCACGACGCTTCACCTGGCCTCGCCGCTGTTCTGCTAGCGCTGGCGTCTTTCACGGCTATCGTATTCCACACAACGCCTTACATCATACATCACGTGGTGTGTTTCTCTTTTTACCCAGCATGAACGTGGTCGCCAAACTAAACCAGTTGGCGAACACTCGTCACAAGATGAAGCCCTCAATAGTGGCGGCCCCGGAAGTATTTTCCCATAGAGATTTGACCACCAGACTTTCCCAAAAAAGTCTTTTTGTTAGAGTTATAAGCCAAGCCAACCAAATGAAACACAAACTTTGATTTGAAGCAGAAAAGTATTTGAAAAGCATACAAAGATGCCTTTAATAAGGGAAAGAACTACAATCCCATGAAGCATTGCAAATGACAATCTAATTAAAAATGGAGAAATACACATAAAAAATTAATTTTTAAGATTTACGTATTTCAGTTAATAGTAAAATTCCATCAAATTGAATTGAATAATCCTTACATTTTTTTTATTGAATAATTGAACAATCCTTAATCAATTGTTCAATTAAAATGTGTAAGGATTATTCAATTCAATTTGATGGAATTTTACTATTAATTGAAATACATAAATCTTAAAATAAATAAAAATTTTGGTGTAAAAAACTATTGATTTAATGTTGTTGATTATGTATATAGGAACAATACATTTTAAGTTTATTGCAAATATACGCATATATATAATTAAATAAATATAAATTGAGATTATATATTAACATTAAAATAAAGCTGAAATAAAAAATAAATAAATAATAAAACAAACTTAAAAAGCTTAAACGGAAATGAGAAATGTTGCCTTGGCAAGTGAAATAAAATCATTTTAAGTTGAAGCACTAAAATGACTAAAATTAAGACTGAAATAAAAATAATGCTATATATATATATAACAAAAGCACATGACAAAATTACTAAAACTTAAACTGAAAATATAAACATAAAAGCGATTCAAAATATTTAATACTATAACAGAATATAAACAATACTTGTGTCAACAAAATGCTAAATAACTTTGTCTCAGAAAAAACAACACGATTTTCTAATATATATACAAATATCTAAATAGTTTGAGATTGTAGAGAGACTGGATTACATTCGCAGTGCTTTACATGAGTGGGCGGAGCTAAAGAGTTCTCTGATTCTCTGATTGGTGGAGATCTCTCTGCAGAATCATGGGTAATGTAGTTTTCCACCAGGAATCTCGCTGTTAAACAATTATTTTAGAAATAAGTTGAAATAGGGGCTGACGAGTCCACTAACAAAAGCATATAGCATTGATTAACAGCCTCGTACTGTAGGTCTGTTTTTAAATGTGTTTCCCTATGGAGAAAATGAAGGAGTTTTTACTTCCAGAACCTCCTGTTGCTCTAAACCCCGGATGTCCTGACAGGAGCATTATGACGGGGTTAAGAGAGCAGGTCGGCTGTCTTTGAAACAAATCATGAGCCGTAGCTTTGCCATATGGCTGTCTGATCTATAGTGAGCTCTCCAACCCGAACAGTCGTCTCAACCGTTCAATCAAAGCCACCAAACTGCTCTCTGGCCCGTAGCTGAGGGCTATGTCCCATATGGCGCGGGTGACCACTGCATTGCCTGAAGGGAAACCGCGAGACACTGTGACCTCGCTCACACAATGCAGCACTTCTGTAGCCCTCGTGTTTC